AAACACATCAACTGTGGCCTCCCTCCTAGTCAGTCTGGGCCTAGCTCCATACTTAAGCTGGACATTTAAAAGTCTATCACAATAAAGCTAATGGACCCGCTAAATACACAAATCACAACTCACTGTTTTCTCACAGATAAAATGACTCTTTGGTACTGACTTAAATGTCAGGTCTAAAGATCCTCTCTAATAGATATCACTATGAGTCCCGAGGACCTTGGGCTCAAGCAGTTTGCTTTGCACAAACTCAGACATCAGTGCACTGACCACCATCAAGTGAGGTCAGCCATGGTCAGCTCCACTAAATGTCAAGTTTTCTAATGCCGAGTGAAACAGCTGCCAAATTATTTCCATCCCTACAGTGAAGTCTATGCACAGAATACAAGGCACACAATTGTGAAACTGGGCAATCGGCAAGTATGTTTTTGCTGGTGCATACCTATGAACTCCAACCGAATTTCCAAAGTGCCATTATCGTTACTGATTACGGCAATGTTGCCCAATCCAGAGATCACACACACATTCATATACGTCAAACTACGCAGTCATTTATGTAAACATCACTGCTTCTTTTTAGAAATGGTGCTAATGACTCAAATGTTTAACTAAAAACCAGTTGAAAATACTTGGCAAAGAAATGGATTCCTTTCTACAGAAGAAATTATGGCTAACAAACTGTTGGTTTTAAGTCTTTCATAATATCCTACCACTCCTTCTGTTTCTCGATATACTGCATAGCCCCAGAAGTCAAATTTTAAAATTAATAAAACAAACTAATGTGGGCATGACCTGGATCCTGAGTGAGTGTGCAGTAAAAAAAAAAAAAAAAAAAAAAAAAAAAAAAAAGCAAGTTAAGGAAACCACCCAAATGGTGGGAAGGGGGAATGCGATCAAATGCAATAACAGTCAAAAAGATAACCGGCAAACTAGAGTCACTTGGCACCAGGCCTTGGAAGCCTTGGAAGCCATGGTAAGAAAAGAGTGACAAGGAGGAAGAGTTAGGTCACCCTGTCAAATTTTACCAGGTGTGCTGTGATACCAGTCAATCCTGAAGTCACCAGGGATTAGTACACAGCCCACACATTAAAAGGCCCCATTCCCGAGGGTGAACCCAAATCACCCTGCTGAGCCACCACTTCCATTGGAGAACATGAGTTGGCATGGGGGCAGACCAGGCCGAGCAGGGCCACAACACCTATTGACCAGGCTGGGCTGATTTATCCTACTGGTGTCTGCACAAGTCAGAGTGGGTGTGGGTTGTTGGGGCTTTGCTGTAGCATCTGGCATATGCTGGCAAGGAGGTGGGGGAGTGCAAATTCTGTCAAATTAAACTACAGAACCACCAAGAGAGTACAAGGCCCAGAGTTGGAGTAGGCCCATCAGGGAAACAGTGGCACCTCTCTCTTGGGTTGCCACTGTGACTGGCGAGCATGAGAACCAGAACTGAGACAGACATGGCTAGACAGAGTGGCACCCACCGGCAGGGGCGTGAGCTGGATAGTGGGGCTGATTGAGTTGAACTGGGCCTCGGTGCCTATTTGCATGTATGAGAGCTGAAACGAATGTGGGACAGACTGGACCAATCTGCTGTACATACTGGCAAGCACGGGAACCAGGGCAGAGCACGGACCTGGTAGGGGTTATTGCGGGTCGCTCCCATTAGGTGGCAGTTCCCGCTGGCTTGCGTGAAGGCTGAGTGTGTGGTGGGCAGGACCGGGATGGACTCCAACACTCACTGATTTGCATAGAAGACAGGGCTGGAGACAGAACTGACCCAGCAAGAGAATGTGGAAATAATGGTCTCACTTTCTTATAGCCCTTGACCCTTTGTACCCTCTTCCCCCAGATGCAAGAAGGAAAAAAAAAAAAAAAACTTGGAAACAATGGTCTCACCCACTTGTGTAGTCCTTGACCCTTTGTACCCTAACCATCTATGTAAAAATCAAAAATAAAGATCCATAATAAAAACATTTTAAAAGGCCCCATCCCCAGCAAAATGTCAGCCCTAGTGGGGTCTCAAGCCAACCATACTCCTGACTAGCCAGCTACAAACCCAGGGGGCTCCCCAGGACCCCTGCTTGGATAGGATAGTGTACAAGACCAAAAAATGAAGAGTGTGATACCCTCACAGTTTCATTCAAGGATACGGAATACCAGTCATTAACTGAAGGTATCCCTAGGGTCTGGAATGCAGAATTCCCGGGCTTATTCACTCATTCTCCACAGTATCAGGCCATACCCTCCCAACTGGAAGCTTCACAAACCAGAGAACTTCCCTGACCTTTAGGGTCCATAGTTTTTAATAGGATTCCATTATGCAACCATGACCGACTCAAACATTGGTCATTGAATCCAATCTTCCTCTCCTAAAGTTGGGTTGATGTCAAGCCTCAACCCTCTAATCGCATCACCAACTGTTCTGGTGATCAACTTACCTGCCAAGTTAGGGCATCTCCCTAGCATGAGCTCAGGTGTGACCCAAAGGGCGCAGCAACAAAGTTTCCAATTACAAGGAAAATTCCAAGGATCGTGACTCTTCTAGGAATCCAGGACATCAGACTGAAAATGCACATTGAGAAACTTGGGAACTGGAAAATCACAAGTGATTTTGGAAAGGAATTTAGCAGAGGAGAAAGAAGTGACCATGCTGTGTACTGAAGAATCAATGCGGGTTATGGAAGCAGAGGCAATGGGTATGGCCTATTCCTGTAAGAAATCAGCTGTGAAGAGGACAGCAGGATTCAAGATAGAATTGAGCAACGAAAGACATATGTGGGCACTTTGAAAAGCAGTGGAAAATGAAATTAGAAGATAAGTTTATTTTGATGCAAAAGCAAATCCTTGAAATATATCTATTCTAAGAATATATTTTTTTATCTAACTTTAGGAGACCCCTGGTTTTGCATGGACCATGGGTATACAGTGCTGCAGGAGCCAAGAATATAAAGTTGTTCATCTTGGAAAAGCCCCAGGAATCACAGCAGAACATAAACCCAAGCTGCAGATGCATGCCCCCAGTTTCCTGCTGACTTAGCATGGCAAGCACAGGGTTAACATTTCAAACTACAAAACCAAGGAAGAAGCGACCCATGAGCAAAAGGAACAGAAATGAAGCTAGAGATGTAAACAAGTACTACTATTAGCTACAATATATAATTATGTATGGTACATCTCAAGGTTATTAAATATACATGTGTTAATATTAACATATTAAAATCTATATCTAACATACATTAGATATTAGGACAATTAAAAAATAACAGGAGACTCATCACGTTTGATAAGGACCCAATGGAACTCAGAAGTAGTAAAAAAAAAAAAAAATGCTGAAAAGAAAAAATAATGAAGCAGAAAAACTGCATTTATCCAAGAAGTAGCATACTAAAATGATGAAAAGTTTCTAAAGAGGGCCAGTAATAAAGCGACTGCCTGCCATGTCGGCATTTCACATAGACATCAACTCTTGTCCCCAAGCCCCAGCTGCTCCGCTTCCCATCCAGCTCATGAACTGGTAAAGGCAGCAGAAGACAGTCCAAGACCTGGGCCCTGCTATACATGCAGCAACCAAAATGAAGCTTCTGGCTCCCAGTCCTAGTAGTTTCAGCCATATAGGGAATGAATCATCAATGGAAGATTCTCTGTCCCTCTCTCCTCCTCTCTAATACCGACATTCAAATAAATATATTTTTTAAAAATTTTTAAAGGTGTGACTAGCATGGTAGCACCGTGGCTTAAGCCACTATCTGCAGTGATGGCATCTCACATGATTGCCAGTTCAAGTCCCAGCTGCTCCATTTCCAATCCAGGTCCCTGCTAATGTGCCTGGGAAAGCAGCAGAGGATGGCCAAGTACTTGAGCTCATACTCCCACATGAGAGACCCAGAAGCAGCTTCTAGCTCTGGCTTTGGCCTGGCCCAGCACAGGTCACTGACCATGCGGGGAGTGAACCAGTATATGAAAGCCCTCTCTGAAAGCTTGCTCGCTCTCATAAACCAGTAGATAAAAGCTCGCTTGCTCTCTCTCCCTCCCTCTATCTGTAACTGTGCCTTTTAAAATAATAAATCTCCAAAAAGAAAGTTTTAAAATATAAAAGAGAACTGAGGGCCCACTAAAGCCACAAGACAAAAACTAATCTATAAGAGTGATGAGGCAAAGAATACTTAATCAGATAATTCAGAATTTTCTAGAAAAGTATGAATCAATGTTCACAAATTATGGTATTTACAAATAAAGGGGGAAAAAGAAATGTATATCTAGGCCTACCATGGAGACTAAACACTACCCATGAAAAAAATTACTAACCTTCAGAGAAAAGGGCAGATTCAATTCCATTTTACTGGCTACCAGACATCTCAAAAGCAACATTGTGACCCAGCTCTCCATTTATGGCCTGGGAAGTCAGAGAAGGACAGCCCCAACTGTGGGGCCCCTGCACTCATGTGGGAGACCTAGAAGCTCCTGGCTCTGAATCAGCTCAGCCATGGTGATGTGGCCCTTGGGGAGTGAACCAACACGTAGAGAATCTCTCTCTGCCTCTCTCCTTTCTGTAACTCTGCCTTTCAAATAAGAATAAACCTTTAAAAAAAAAAGTCACTCTAAGAAGTCCAAAACTCTTGTATGCCTGCTAGAAAATAGGCTACTCCTAGAAAAACCAAAAATATGAAGTTGAGCACAATGAGCTGGACTTGACTGTACTTTCTACACTCTGAGATCTGTCTGGCCTTTTTTACGTAGTAGAAAGAAGTTTCATTAACATTCCATTGGTGTCCCTACTCCAGGGACACCAGCTCCGCATTCCTCCGTCAATAGCATATATTATACAGTGATCAGTGACACAAAACAAATCCCAGACCCATTTCCATCTAGAATGTCATAAAGTTCCTGAAAAGCCTTTTGTTCTTCTAGCTCCCTGTAAAACACAATGTGCCATTTAGACATAATTCTATCAAAATTCAGCAAATTCATCATTTTATTCACGCTCGGGAGTGCACAACACTTACCCCATGTTCCTTCGCAGCCAGGACAACTTGAAGCAGGACATCTTCGTCCATGAATGGCCTGACGGCGTCATGGATGATCACCACTTCCGGCTTGGAGAGTTCACAGCCAGGCTTGTCGCCCACCAGGGCTTTGAGCCCATTGAAGATGGACCTGTGCCGAGTCACCCCAGCCTCCGCCAACGAGACGCGAGCGTGCCGGTACTTCCGTATGATGCTCTCCATAGCTCCCTGATTCTCTGCCGTCACCACCACAACGATGTCCTTTACCCAACGCGCCCTGGAAAGCAAGCACCCACATGGTTCCCACAAGTGGACCTTAGACAACAGGGGCCTGCGACAAAGCTCAATTGCAGTGAAGGCATTCTTAATAGGTCTACCAATCAGCTAAGTGCACTTCAAGGGGTCAAGTGATGAGGCTGCTAAGAAACAGCCAAGAGTACTTTATTCACACAGGGGGTATTTCATAGCACCTAGCATAGGACCTGTGCACAAAGCTTCGGGTATGCTTTCAGACGTTTCCACTCACTTACATTAAACAGTAGCAGGATGTTTGGGCATAGACTAGAAGAGGAGGCATGTGCTTTTGAATCCGTATTTTTGCAAATATGTTTCCTTCAATGGGATAAGAACTAGTCAAGGACTTTTGCATGCCAAAAGGTGGCTTCTCCTGGCAGAGGTGCGTTCAGCTGAGCTGGCAACCAACCATGTGAACACCAATGAAATCATAACCGACCACACATCAACCCCACCTATGTCCTCATGTACTTATGCTGGGAAAACCACTTTAAGTTGGTGCAAATAGATTGAAGGACAACGTGAAAACTCGCAGAATTTAATGAAACTGTATATACCTAGTCCACTGCACAGTACATACCACAGATACATTCTGTCATTTACAAAGCATACAATGGACTTCTTTCCTGCTGGAACACAGTTCATTACAGAAGGATGCAGTGGTACTCTGGGCTGCCACCAGAGCACCCCCTTAAGGGACTGCTGCATCACAGCAGTCCAGCTGACCTCCCTCCAAGGCCAGGGCAGACAGGGGCCAGCATCACTGCAGGTACAAGAGTCTGCCAACAAGGGACCTCCACCAGGACCACCTCCCACACCATGACAATCAGCACTGGGCAAATGCCACTGGAAGGCCCCAAGACCCCTCCACCAGGACCACCTCCTCACGGTCATTAGAAAGCCATGACGGGAGGATGGGCTTTCAGTGTAGTTGTGAATTCCTCACTTGGAACATCTGCACCTCATGTGGGAGAGCCTGGTTCAATTCCCAAACTCCATGCCTGATTTCAATTTCTGGTCAACGCACTGCAAAGCCAACAGGTGATGGGCGAGCCCGAGTTCCATGTGGAAGATCCTGAGTTCCTCAGCATCAAGACAGGCATTTGTGGAGTAAGGACATCCATCACTTTGCCCCTCAAATAAAACATATTCCTTAAAAATGTCATATAATATCTCCTAACAAGAGTTAGGGTCCTAGAAGGGGCTGAGCAATGAATATCCTTCCAGGATTCTCTCTCCTGGAAAGTGAAGGCGCATGCCCAATCATCAACAGGCTTGGTGCTCTGTTACTGAGCAACCCCATCTTAGAACTCAACGCCCCATTCTTCAGTGGCTTTGCTGCTACACTGATGAATAAAACCAAGAAATACTCCACAGGAGAACTGCCTTCCTGTTTAAATCCATGTCTCTAATATTTGTTGAGCACCAAATCCACAACTACCATGGAAGCTGAAATAAAATAGAAAGTCACTGTCTTCACAGAGTTGCGGTGGGACCTGAATACATGCACCACTCAACAGCTAAGACAAGCAATAACCACATGCTTATACAGTGACGCAAATATATACTTATACGTCGATGACTACAAGCCACCATCGGGTCCTGTTACAGAGAGTTAATTAAATACATGTACCCACTAAGCCACAATCCAGTGCTTAGAGAGATTTAAATGCATGCACCAATAAGCAGCTACCAGCCAGGTGTGAGTACAGGGGAAGCCCTGACCAGCACAGAGAGGGGCAAAAGCATCACCTAAGGAGAGCTCCGCAGTGGACCAAAGTGGTGGGGAAGTAGGGAGAGAAGGACGTTCTGACCAGAGCTCACAGCAAGAGCCTCAGGCTGGGACAAAGTGAGGAGCCCTGGGCAAGGAGGAGAGGATACTAGAGGCTCAGATCAGCACGTGACCAAGCCACACAGCCTCCCACATTGAGAATTTAAACCTTTTATTATAAATTTAGAAATCTATAAAAGCAATTGTCAACAGCCTTTAATTAAACAGGTGACTGCATTTATACTTGTTTTAAGCTCAGAGAGTGTGCTGTGGCATTACAGATGGCTTGGTGGGCAACATAATGGACTCTCAAAGAAGCCCACTTCCTCATCCCTGAAACAGGTAGATGTGATACCCTGCAGGCCTGGAGATGAAGGATTTCACAATGGGGAGATGACCCTGGCTGATCTAGAGGAGCTGGAGGTCATCACAGGAGTTCCTTAAAGTGAAAGCATGAGGAAGAGTCCAAGGAGACGTGAAGACCAGCAGGACAAGACGCCCAAAGCCCAAGAATGTGAATGGCCTCTGGAATTAGGGGAAAGGCAGCAAGGGGCTACTCCCTGGGGCCTTGGAAAAAAGCAAAGCTCTGCCCACACCTTTGCCACATCCCAGTGAAAACATAAGGTCGAGTCTGGCAGCAAGACTGGGAATGGATTGGGTGGATTGAGGAAGGGCGGAAGGACACCAGCCAGGAGGCTGCTGCTACAGTCCAGGCACTGCAAATCACAAGCTAGCTGCCGGATGATGCCTGCACATGGGGATCAAAGACAGAACCTGGAGGTAGCTATAGGTGTCAGCAAGAAGAGTGGCAGCACACGCCAACTAACATAGAACATAAGATAACAGAACACAGAACATAAGGTAACAGCTGGGCACCGTGGGATAAAGCCAACGCTTGGGGCACCAGCATCCCACATCAGAGCACAGGCTGACGTCCTGGATGCTCCGCTTCTGATCCACCTTCCTGTTAATACCACTTGGGAAGGCAGACGATGACCCAAGAATTTGGGTCCTGCCCCCATGTAGAAAACCTGAATGCAGTTTCTCTATCTTCCCCTCTCCCTCTGTCACTCTGCCCTCCAAATAAACTTTTAAAAAATAATAACAGCTGATAGCTAACATGAGGCATCACAGTTTAAGCTGCCACCTGCAACACCAGCATCCCATGAGCATCAGATTAAGTTTACCCCAGCTGTTCCACTTCTGCTCCAGCTCCTTGCTAATGCACTCGGAAAAGCAGTAGGTGATAGCCCGAGTGATTCAGACCTGCCACCCACATGGGAGACCTGGATAAAGCACCTAGCTCCAGCCACTGCAGCCATTTGGGGGAATAAACCAGCAGACAGACCATCTCTGTGTGTAAATTCTGCCTTTTGCATAAAATAAGTAAATCAACTTAAGAACTTAGTATGTCTTAAGTCTTTCTGATTTTCACTGCAGTGTGGCTAACACTGACCTTTGTATAACACAGGAAACAAACTAGAATGAGATCTGAACATACAAATACACTTTCTGTACTACTTTCTTACTCTGAAAAGCACTTAAAGCAAAACAGCATCAGCATGAACCAATTGGCTTTAACAGATCTCTTTTAGTTTGTCTTCTGGAACGTAAACTCCCACACTGGACAGCATCTGTTTTCCCCATTGCCTTACGCATAATTCCTAGGTTGCACTCAATAAGCACTGGCTGCAGAAACATCTGTCTCACCTACCAGGAGCAGTACAACATCTGAAAGTACAACATAGTCTCAAGCACTATGAAAATTAAGAAAGCTTTCCTCATTATCCTGCGTTGCAACCAACAACAAAAACAAAAGCCAGGAAGTAAATAGCTTTTCCTGGCAATGGGGTTTTAGTGATCATTTTCTTCTTTCCCAAGTCTGATTTCCTAACTCTGATTTCCTGGTCTTGAGGCTCTCACAGGGCCAGAATTCTTTCATTTTGCTTCCCATGCTTATGTATTTACCTGAGAGGTATAGAGACAAAGAACACCTATCTGCTGGTTCAGTTCGCCAAATGCCTGCAATGGCCTGAAGCTGGGAGCTGGTAACTGGACGCAGGTATCCCACAGGGGAGCAAGGAGTGGGGCTCAAGCACCCGAGGCATCAGCCCGGTCTCCCGAGGTCCACACCGGCTGCACCTGGAAGCTGAGCCGATACCCAGCAGCAGCCTACCTGCCATGCCGAACACCTGCCCCAGGATTCGAAACACAAAGAAGCAGAAAGAAAGCAATGGCATTCACAAGCAGTCTAAGGCCAGTCTGCAGCAAGCTGAGCAAGGAAGATTCTGGAACAGGAGTATGTACAGGCTGGTTGGCTTTGTAACCCATCCCTCACCCCTTCCACGGCACACTGGGTACCTTCAGAGCTTGCGCTGTACTGACACTTCTGGAGTTCATGCCACTCTGCGACAGGTGCTAAGCCCCTCTCGTCACATGCAACTTGCTAAAGTTGCTGTAAGGTCATAGCCATGGCTCCCACCCGTCTCCCAGAGCTCACAGCACCTGCCTCCTTGCCGCCACTCCTTCTCATCTGGTCCCAGGCCAGTCATTCCTCTCTGCTCCACACACTCCTTTCCAAGACCAACAGGGAGGGCCGCCCTGCTGGTGGAGCACGAGGCTATTGGAGACTTGACCTCTGCCTGCTTCCTGCCCATCACCAGTCCCTGGCTGGCCCTGCTCAGACACAGCTGCTTCTGGGAAAGTGGGAGAGGAGCACGGCCGTGCTGCTTTCTTGGCCTCTCCAACAGTCCTTGTACTGGTCTCTCCATCGCCCAGCACACTTCCATGCCTTCTCAGTGTTCAGGTCTCACTTCAGAAGTGGCCACCTCCAGGGAGTTCTCGGGGACTGCCCCTCTAGCACAGCATCCGTCACACTGCCTCACATTCCAGAGGACAAACACCGGGCATTCCTTATGTTTATCTGGCTCCGCTCCTGGGCAGCCAGCCTGCAGGCAGCAAGGACTGCACCCAGAACCCACACATACCAAGCTTCCAGAGGGAGCAATCAGATAACAGCTAAGAAGGACAGAATGCTTACCAGGTACTAATGAGTCATGGAGGGCACTCTGCCTGCACCATCCCACCCAGGACCCCCATCAGCTCCAGGAGGGAAGGCAAGTCATCCTCATCAACCCATTTTCACAAATGAGAACACTGATGCCATGATCGCCCCAGGCCCACACCACAGAAAGCAAACGGAGCAGGCTGGGAGCACAGCGTGCCTCAGGGCTCACACATCTACACAGACACTGTCTCAGCCAGGCAGAGCAGGAGGTCTCCCCTCCATGGTTTTGCCATTCTGCCACAATCACCTCCTTTGAGGAGGGACCTGCGACATGGCTGCAACTGTCACCACATGGTCAGATGTCTTCTGGTTTCTAATAACTCAAGCAAAAATTGGTATTCATTCCCACGTTCACTGAGACACTCAAAGGCAACAATGTGGTATTTCCCAGTACTGGACACTGTGAGACGATAATGAACAAAGAATGAGAATTCCTGGTATCAGATTACATGTCAGCGTCTGTTAAATAAATGAACAGACGAGAAACTGCTTGAACAGGTAGCCATCAAACTCACTCTTGGGAGCCAGTTCTACAGCACAGTGGGTTAAGGTGCCTCTGAAATACCACCATCCCATAGCAGAAAGCTGCTTCAAGCCCCAGCTACTCCCCTTTCAATCCAGCTCCCTCCCGATATGCCCAGGAAAGCAGGAGAATACGGCCCCAAGTGTATGGGCTCCTGCAACCCACATGGGAGACAAGGCCTCGAGTTCCTGGCTCCTGGCTTCAGCTTGACTCAGCCCTGGCTACTGCAGCCATCTGGGATGTGAACCAGGTGATGGATGGAAGGAGATGGTCTCTGTGTCTCTCCCCATGTCACTCGGCCTCTCAGATCAATTCGTCAATCTTAACCAGAAAAAGAAGCTTGCCATAAACTGTATAGAAAGTTAATGAACAAAATATGTGAATGGTTTTAGTAACACATTAGCCTTCTCTTTCTAAAAGAAAAGTGAATGAACATTCAACCTGCCAGTGGCAGAGTCTTTCCATGGGGCTAGAGATCAATAGCCTGTCCCCCGAGCTATTCCACGAGAAATCCAGCTAAAAGCAACCTGGAAAGAGATCATGCCGCCATTTTCTTCTATCATATAGAAGAATTAACAGGAGAAAAGAGGATGAGAGGTCCTTCACCATAAGATAGCCATTCAGTGTGCTTACTAAAGTGCTTTAGGAACTTATCAAATGGCTCCCTAGGCTCTAGCCAATAGCCAACTCTTCAGAGTGTGTTGTTTCCAGACTTTTGTTGAAACAGGAATGTGTGTGGCTTGTCACTGAGCCATGAGACAAAGTTTAATTTTTATAACAAGGCACCAAAAAAAAAAAAAAATTGGAAAAGCTTGCTTTGGACCACTCAAGAGATAACGGACTTATTATACTGTTCAGCACCCAAGGCTACCCCCAGTACTTGCAATCCCTTCTAAGTACTGTTTGTATAACAAAGGATTTATCTACATTCTTTTCTAGTTATAGAATTATAAGCCTTTTATAGCATTAAAATTTAATCATGGAAAATCATGGGACTGAATAAGACCTTCCATACCTCCCACAGTGCCTACAGTAGAGAGATTTGCTGAAGCACGGGGTCTGGCATGGCCCCGTGGAAGGCAGGCCCATGCCAGGCCCCAGCGCCAGGGCTGGCTTTCCAGCACATGCCACAGACAAACAAAAAGCAAGCGCCAAGCTTCCTCACACCTATAAATATTTTGAGGAAAAAATATAATAACTCGGGGGTGATGCACTGCAGGAATCACGTATCAATTACAGAAGCCCTCTGCTCAGATTACCAGAATAGTCAAAAACAGAACATGGGGACAGACGGGCTGAAGACAGAACAGGAAGTCATACCGTAAGCTAACACCACCGCTCTCTTCCCTATTCAAGCTGCAGCAGTTTGGCCTCCACAGCACCCAGGCTGCTGTCTGCCCCGAGTCTTCATGGACGTTCAGCCTGGTTGCACTAGGGTCACAATCCCCCAGCTGCCATCTCTCCACCCCCTCTTTCAGCTGTAGAATGTTGACCCCTCACGGGCGTTGGCTCCCAGCTGCCTCTCCTTAGGGAAGTCCCTTTGCTCTGGCCATGAAGGCCTGCACCTGGCATGCCCGAGGCTGCATATCTTTAGATTTGGAAGCAATCTCCTGGAGGTCTTTGGACACTCATCACCTGACTGGACAAAACACAGCAGCCCGACTCCCTTCCTAGACTCCCCCTCGAGTCTTCGGTTGGTAACCCTTACAATGAAATCATCTCAAACCACATGGAGAAAACTAAAAGCATCCTAAAACATTCGAGGTTCCTAACCTGTCAATCACCAAGACCTATCCACTCTACCTCCTTGACACATCTGTCTTCCCTTGGCCATTCCAACCATGTCAACTTAACCCAAGTGCTCAACAGTCCTCCTCCACCTTGTCCAACAGAAGCTTGGAAAAATGCAATAGGACAAAACAGTATGCAGGAAAACAAAAACTGAGAAGTAAAAAAAAAAAAAAAAAAAAAAAAACCAGCAAGAAAGTCAAGACAACTCTACGCTAACACCTTATAAGACACACACCTAATGCCTTAACAACTAGACACGGACCTGCTTTGAATTTCTAGGATATAAAACAATACAGCAACCCAATTTCAATCCTAAGACCAAGTGTCCCTAATATATAAACAGAGGCCTCATACAGGTCCTCAAAATCTGCTTTTCAAATTTATCTGGGGTTGTCTGAGGGAGTTTACTCTAACCAAACTACAAAGGGACTGAAACTCTGGCTAGAATGTCAAAATCCTAACATCATATATACACCATACAGCAATTCACTTTTATCGTAAGATCTCCGACGCTCTCTATCTTTGCCACTGCACATCTTCCTGGAGAAGATTTGCATGGCAAGTGAATTATAAGATTTATGATGAGCATGGAACTGTATCAAAGTCATCCAGGCAGACCGTGTGGTGTGGTCCACTAAGCTGCTGTGGCCTGTGACCCCGCATCCCATCGGAGCATCTGGAGTTCAGCTTCCTGTTAGTGCACCCCCAGGAACAGCCGTGAATGATGGCCCAAGGACTCTGGGTCCCTGCCACCACAGGGAGACTGAGAGGGCTCCCCGCTATTTGAGAGGTGAACCAGCAGATGAAAGCCATCTCTATCTCTCCATCACTCTGCCTTTGAAATAGAGATGAATATATACACCTTAAGTCATCTCAGGCAATGGTCTCCACCTGAGAACTGAAAGGAATGGCTCTTAAGACTTCCACAAAGTAAGGCCAGGTGGTGTTCCCATCACCTTCTAGATTATTCCGAGTTAGCTCTGCATCATGCATCTGAACACGTGTGGCCATCACTGTAATCACTTTTCAGCCTACTTAGGGTTAACCAACCTTCAGTGATATGTTCTGTCCTTGAACATTCAAAGTCAGAAATTACGTGACCAGTGGGGATTTTTCCAAAGACCTATTTTTATTGCAAAGTCAGATATACCAAGAGGAGAGACAGCAAGGATTCACTCCCCAAGCAGCCACAATTAATAATAGATCTTTCACATGCTCCATTTCCAGTTCAGCTCCCCATTAGCACTCCTGGGAAAGCAGTGGAAGATGGCCCAAGTGCATGGGACCCTGCCATCTCCGGGGCCAACCTGAAAGAAGCTGCTCCTGGCTCCAGCCTGGCCCAGAACTACGACCATTCAGGGAGTGAGCCAGGAAATGGGACATCCGTCGTTATCTCCCTCTTTCTCTCGAGCTCTGTCTTTCTATTAAATCAGTATTTCAAAAAAAGAAAACTATAAAAACCAAAACTTACTGGTGAGAATGACTCAAGACTTTATTGTTGAGAGAGCAGAAGCTTAAGCAAGGAAAATTCTCCCTTATGAGGGACAAGTCAGATGAGCTTTGAAATCAACTCTGGGGCCCGGTGCAGTAACCTAGTGGCCAAGATCCTCACCTTGAATGCGCCAGGATCCCATATGGGCACCGGTTCTAATCCCGGCAGCCCTGCTTCCCATCCAGCTCCCTGCTTGTGGTTTGGGAAAGCTTTGGGACCCTGCACCCGGAAGGGTGACCCGGAAGAGACTCCAGGCTCCTGGTTTCGGATTGGCTCAGCTCCAGCCATTGCGGCCGCCTGGGGAATGAATCCTCGGACAGAAGCCTTCCTCTCTGTCTCTCCTCTTCTCTGTATATCTGACTTTGCAATAAAAACAAATAAGTCTTTAAAAAAAAAAAAACTACTTGAATCACATGGCCACATCATAAAAGACCTTTGTAATACCACTGCGCCCTCCCATCCCTCCAGCTTCAGCCGAGACTCTGCCAGGTTACCGGCTGCTAAAATCCAGGTTCGGTTAATAAAATTAGGATCCCCTCTCATGTCACTGCCGCTTCCCTGAGCCACCTGACCCCAGATACCCTCTCCTTCCTTCTTCCCTCCCTCCCCCGCCAGTTAACTCCAGTCCCTCTTTCTGAAAGGCTAAAGGGGCGTGTTAGCCTCGGTGCCACGCTCGCTCGGGTCCACTGCCACCACTAGAGCACGCTCCCATCTCCGCCCTCAGCACCTAGAAGTGGCAGGTGCTGCAGCCAGGAGGAACCAAGGAGCGTCCACCGAGTCAGCAGGTGCGCGCATGCGCGGAGCCAGGGCGCCTCTCCCCTCAGGCGCGCGCGGCCATGGCGGGAACCAAGGGTTCCTGTCCTCCAGCCTCGTGCTCTGGCGCTCTCGTTATTCCACTTGCTGGCTCTGGTCACCTAACGGGCTCCGGGGTTAGGGGAAGGAGGCAGCCCGGGCTGCCGCATTCCGTCTCAGGTTCCAGTCAGGAGCCGCGGCGCGGGGGGAAGGAGCGACGGGGACGCGCGAGCCGCGTTTACCTCTCCAGGGCCTGCAGGGTGTAGCTGATGAGCGGCCGCTCCAGAATCGGGCAGAACTGCTTCGGGGTGCGGACGCCCATCCTCTCTCCGCAGCCCCCGGCCGGCAGGACGGCCGCCACGGTCGGCATGCGGCTCCCCGGCTCGGCTGAGGCCTCCAGGGCCGCGCCGCTCACGCAAGGCCCCGGCTTGGCGGGCCTGCAGTCGCCGGCCGCTCCGGGCTCCATGGCGTGAGACCGAGCCTACCCAAGCGACCTGCAGCGGTGGCGGCTGCTCGTCTGGCTGCCTCCGGTCGTGGTTTCGGGGTGACGAGGGGGCGAGGGACAGGGACGCGGCGCTCGCGGGCCCTGAGCGTCTCCGGGAGCCGCAGGGGACAGTCTGCGCCCGGCCCAGCGCCCCCGGGCGGGCTGGCCTTCCCGCTCAGGGCTGCAGGCGCAGGGGCAGCTCTGGCTGCGCACCCCGACGCGGAGCAGCTGTTGCAGGGGGAGGCAGTCGGCACTCGGTCCCGGGCTCCTCGCTGTTGCGGGATCTGGAGCCGGAGCCCAATGTGCGCACGCCTCCATTCCCTGAATCCCTTTAAAGCTCCCCCGAGGCTGCCTGGCCCCACCTGGGGTAAGGCAGAGTCAGGTGCACTGCAAAGTGGTTCTGCACCACCCATAACCTATGCGGGGGTGATAGGCTCCAAAAATCCTAAACATGTAACTTGAAAAACTTAAGGAGAACAGATTTATTTAAGAAGAACAGATTTTTTTCGGGGGGCGGGGTGGGGGGGCTTAAGTTGTATGCCCAGCTCCTGAGCTTTAATATATGTTGAATGGATTCCTGCTTGAATAAATTGTCAGTTCATACTTAGCAATCTTCAGCTGACAGTAACTTGACAATCTTGTGAAGGCTGTAAACTTCCAGAGATAATACCCCAATGGTCATTAGTTTATCCATTTTGCCAGTTTCAAATAGACTTGCAAGTTTTTGGCTGGTGCAGTGGCATAGTAGGATAAACCTCTCAAATGGGCACCGGTTCACGGCCCGCCTGCTCTACTTCCTATCCAGTTCCCAGCTAATGTGCCTGGGAGAACAGTAGAGGATGGCCCAGGTGCTTGGCCCCCGACACACACACGCGGAAGGGATTGCCAATCTCCTGGCTTCCGCTAGGCCCAGCTTGGGAGAGCAAACCAGCAGACAGAAGATTTTTTTGTCTGCCTCTACTTCTTTCTCTGTAAATCTGCCTTTCAAATAAAATAATCTTTTTTAAAAATATTTTTTTTTCTACTCTTATCCTTGCCGTTTGGTGTGCTTGAAAGCGTTCTGTCACTTTTGTTACTCATGATGTGTTGTTGCTCATTGCCGAGCTCCTGAGTTGCGCTGTGTCAGATGACGGTCGTTTTTTAAAATTATTGTCGTTAGAGTTTCTTTCTAATTTGGTATTCAAAATCTCTTGAGCGTGGCCAACAGCCAAAGAAACCACTCCAGGAGAGCTGGGGTAGGAGGTGAGTGGGAGGTTTTATTACTTACAATACATCTGAGAACATGGGGAGCCCTGAAAACAGAAAGGCCAGGAAACTAAAGGGTGCTGAGCCAGCAGCAAGTGGGACCAAGGAATGATGAAGCCCCCAGCCTTAGGGTTTCCCCAGGGCGTTATGAATTGTTTAGTTTGAGGAGAACACACACCAAAGGGATTCTTAGATTTTCTCGTGGTCTGCAGCTGTGGGATGAAGAACACGGCCTCCCCCACAGCACACAGTGCAAGACAGGAAGAGCTAGGCCCCGGGGGAGGGTTTTCAACATTGTAAGTCCCATCTGAACACAGATGTCGCAAATTCATGACAGGCTTGCCACACCGGTGTCCAGCCTAGCCACTCTCTCAGGATGCGCTTGTTGACTAAATAGATGGGTGAATGAGTAAATGAGTGTGTAACACTGATCTTAATGCATCCCTCTTTAAAGTGGAGTGACAGCTGTTCTTCCTGGCCTTGATCTTGAAGAAGGCCAACTGTGATCAGAAAGATCTTATATAAATTGCCATCAGATCATAATAGACAAATTTTGCTCAAAATTTCATTTTAAGTTTTATTCTCAGAGCAAACACTAGTTGAGCTTTATTCGCTGCAAAACCTTGGATCTTACAAACGTTATATTAACAAGTTCTAATAACAAAATGGACTAATCACTCAGAGAAATATCATGAGAAGCAGCCTTCTTCTGTCTGTTTTATACAGATGGAAACCATTAGCTTCATTTTAGGCATATTTGAATAGAAAACATAGTTTCCATGCTATGCTATACCGACTTAGAGTAACTATATCAGGATAATCTTCAGCCATTTGGAAGTACCCTACCAAGCGGGACCACCTGGAACCTGTTGTTAGCAGCTGCTCTGAAATACCAGGTGAACAGCTTAGAAAAAAATAAGCTCCCACCTGGTCATCGCCAGACAGAGCTTACAGACTGTGGAGGTTCTCCCAGGGTTTTCCATCCTCACCTTCTATGGGAGGCAAAATTCTGGCTTATCAGAAACACCCAGGTCCTAATCCCCCAAATCTAAGACTATAGTAAATCATCTGACTCACTTTAAAACTATAAATATTATAAATTCTTTAATATTTATTTGTTTTTATTGGAAAGTCAGATATGCAGAGAGGAGAGACCAAGAGAAAGATCTTCTGTCCACTGATTAACTGATTACTGGGGAGTAAACCAGGAGATGCAAGAATATCTCTCTCTCTCTCTCTCTCTCTTACTCTCTCTCTCTCTCACCTTTTCAAAATTTTTAAAGCAGAAAGACAGTCCTTACTCTATCGTATTGCCTTTGCTTCTTTGCCTAAAATCAGTTAATTATATCCAGGGGGATCTATTTCTAGCTTCTTCCTCTTGTTTCGCTCGTCATATCACCTCTCACCATACATCTGACTTGAAGACTATAGCTTGCTGGTCAACCTTGAAATCCAATAGCGTCAATCGTCTATTTTTGTTTTTCTTTAATACTGTTCTAGATCTTGCTTCTCCATGTAAACTTTAGAATCACTCGGTCAATATTCTCAAAACAGCTCGTTGAGCTTCTAACTGGAATCTAATCTTAAATTTCAACTTGAAAAGAACTGACATCTTAATCATGCTGAATCTTTCTGCAAAGATGGAAAATCTTTCTTTTTTTTGAAAGATTTATTTTCATTGGAAAGGCAGATCTGCAGAGAGAAGGAGTGACCGAGAAAAGATCTTCCATCTGCTAGCTCACTCCTCAGATGGCCGCAATGGCCACAGCTCAGCCGATCCAAAGCTGAGCACCCAGGATGTGAACCAGAGCTGGAATCTGGAGATGCTCGCAACAGAGGCAAAAACAAGCCTGCTGCATCACAACCTCAGCCCACAGATGTGCATTGTTAGTGTGAGTTTGTTGTAGGTATGGAACAAACTCAAATAAACATTGAGTTAAGAATCAGAGCCCGGAGTGGTAGTTTAGCATCTAAAGTCCTCACCTGGCACACGCCAAGAGCCCATATGAACAGCACTTGGCTGGAAGGGAAGACTCCTTCCTACCTAAAATTGTTGCATTTCATCAAGGGTCTAACACAGCACTTGCTCATTAATGAGTCATTGGCTGGAGGAGTTGGGCAGGCGGGGGGGGGGGGGGGGAAGAGAGAAAGACTAAGAAATGGAAACTGGACCAGTGCAGTGGCTCCACCGGCTAATCCTCCACATGTTTGTGCCGGCATCCCACATGAGTGCCAGTTCATGTCTCCATTGCCCCACTTCCCATCCAGTTCCCTCCTTGTGGCCTGAGAAAGCAATGGAGGATTGCCCAGGTGCTCGGGACCCTGCACTCACGGGGGACACCAGGAAGAAACTCCTGGTGCCAGATCTGCTCAGCGGTGGCCATTGCTGGCATTTGGGAGGCAACCCAGTGGATGGAAGACATTCTCTATCGCCACACTCTCTGTAGAAGAAAAAGAAAATCTTAAAAAAAAAGAAAAGAAAAGGCAAGGAAAAGAGAGAAAATGAAAGAACTGAAATGGAAGCATTCTATCCACAAGGTTATCCTTTCTTTTCATTTCAAAAAATCATGGTGGGACTAGAAAGGCTACAACTAGTATCAGCTTATGTGCTCCTAGACACATTACTTCCATGCAGGTCCACCCCGGCTGTGTACCAGTCCAGGCACTCAGCCTGCCACCCAGGGAATGCAGGAAGCATGGCAGTTAGTCAGCCAGGCCATCTCGATACTCTGTCACTCTTCCCTGGAGATAGTTCTGTGCCAGGTTCCTCCGCCGTGTCATCCCAACTCGAGACCTCTGCAGACTGGGCCCCCATGTCTCTGCAGCATCTGCCTGGCAGAAGGGGTCGTATGCGTCCTGGCTACCCAATCAGAACTTACAGAATGAAAGTATCAATACTGAACAATTAGGAATATGTGTACTCAACAGAAAATGTGAGATATTTTCTCAAGTAGTCATTGGATTGGATTCACTAGAAGAAATATTTCCCCAGCTTTCTTCATTCTGGAAAAATTAAATAAGCCAGATTTTGCATCAAGTGCTTCTTCAGTATTTTACATTTTCCCCCTTATTGAAATTACTCTGTGATTCTCCCTTGTGTTTATGTGTATGCATACTTATTTAATTTGAAATACGGAGTGACAGAGCATGTGAGAGAGAAAGACAGCAAGATCATGCATCTATTGGTTCAATGCTACAAATGCCCCCTACAGCCAGGGTTGAACCAGGCCATCGTCAGGGGCTCTGGTCCCCTGCATTGGTGACAAGAACTCAAGGACTTGGGCTATTTCCCAGGTTAACACAGAATCAGGGAGCTATAGTGAAAGTGGAAGTAGAACTGTATACCAAGGCAGTGGCTTAACCCACTGTGCCACATATTTGTCCCTAAGCTTCTAATTCCTAAAAACATTTCATTGCAAGAGAAAATTAAAACAATTACTGCACTTTTGAACATAAATATTTGTTCTCAAGAATATTCTTTCTTTGAACTAATCAAATCTTTTTGACTGAATACATAATCCAAGAAATTATAAGATACACAAACCAGAGAAGTCAGACAATGAATTTTTAAGCTCAACCATCTAGGACACTTTTTTTTATTTTTACTTCTGCAAATTGAACCGTGAATTTAAAGATTAGAAATGCAATATCTGTTCTATTAAAATTTGTTTTCCCTAATACTTAAATTTTAGAAATATTTTCTTCCTTTCCACAACAGCAATTTTTCTTGAAGTAAT